GGTGGGTTAGTGGTTGGGTTGGTGGGTGGGTGGGTAGGTTGGTTGGTTGATTGGCAGAAAGTTGGTTGGTGGGTGGATTGATGGGTATGTAGGTCAGTTGGTTATTTGGTCAATGGGTCGGTTGAGAAGGTAAGTGGGATGAGTTGGATGGGTGGGTGGGAAGGTTGGTTGGTGTTGTTGGCTCATCTGGTTGGTTCGTCTGATTTATCATTCGTTGCTCCATTAGTGTCCATTAAATAGTCATCTACCTGGAGGGTTTTAATTTTCAAGGGTTTTAAGTGCGTGTTTTGATAGTTACTACCCTAAAAATGCGCAGGACATGAAATCAAAAGAGAAAGATTAAAGAATCGAAAATGCGCCTGTTTAATGAAGTCTCGTGTGTCACGCTTGCTCCGTCAAACGCGGGCGCGTGCTGTGCGTAGTTRTAAAGCACGCGGGGGTTAGTGTTAGGAGAAGCACGACGCGTAACGCAGTACTTCTCGACACTTCTCGAGTGTTCTGCCAATCCCCAAATGCTTCATAAGCAAACAAGTTTTTTATTTCTTTTATAAGATACAAATTATGATAACCGTTCTTTTATATAGGAATGACGCAACTAAAGGTGCGCGCGTGTGCTGTGTGCTCTCATTAAGCACCCGCTCCCAACCAATCAGAAAGCGAGATTCAAAGCAGTTATTTTATAATAACGAATATAAAACGCGCGCGCATGTCTCTTTACGGTGTATAATTTACCTTTTCATCATTAATGTCTCTGTACTGTGATATAAACGCGCTGTGAGCTGTAGCGCACGAGAGAAGCAAGCTTAGGAACGACGAGGCGTTGCTTTCATAAAAATGTTTTGAACAATAAGTGTGTCCCTGCCCTCATAAACACGGTAGGCAACCAATCAGCGCTCGCGTTATATCTAAAATATTTAATAAATATAACCGTTCAAAGTAAGTCCTTTTGCTTAAATTTAAAAAAAAATTCTGACGATTGTGTCTTTTGCGGCATTTAAAAGTATATTAGCGCAAGGTATTATGGGTATCAATGCAGATATCCCATCAGCCCTTTCGGTGCTACATCAAAAACATGGCGGACTTTGAGGACAAGATGAAGTTGTTAAAAGAGAAGAAAACACGCTATTTAAAAGGTAGGAAACGTTAAGAACCTATAAAGAACCCTTTAATGATTTAAGTTAAATTCGTTTACTTCTCTATAGGCCTTTCTTTCTGATATTTGTCGTGTTTTCGTTGACTTAGCGAGTGTTTGTTTGACCACGTGAAATTACTCGGATGCCGTGGTCGAAATAACTTGTTCGAACATACATTTTGTCTTCGTAGGATGGTTTTCTTAGCTATGAACAGGTTTAAAGATGTTTATTGATACGTTTTCGAATGTCTTTACTCAATTTTTCTGTCAAAGAATTTCATACTATTTTTTCTTCAGACCAAAACGCATATTTACCAACCCCTCCCTGGAGAGCAAAACAAAGACAAAAACAAAAACAAAAAAAAAACAACAACAACAATTAGATAATGGGTTGAATTATCTAATGTTTTTGGGAGTGTTCTGTTACCATTTTTTTCTTTTGAAGAATTAATGCACCAGTCAAAGTAAACCCCAACCCTAATTCCTCCACACCCACCCTCTGGGGCAACTAAATTTTGCTGGGCAATATATTATTTTAGTAAAAATATGCAGGTGATTATAGAAAAGCTAGAGCACTGATTGGTCAAGAATTCTCACACTATCACACGATAATGGCCTTGAGCGAAAATCCAAAATGACGGCCAGCCGCTTTGTTGCTCTTATCAGAAAATAATGCCTTTTATATTCTTTTTTTTCTTTTTTTGAAAGAATCACCTGTGTATTATACTAAAACAATTATTTGCCTCAGACTCAGTGATTATTGGGGAATATTTACCTCACCGCTCAAAGACTCACGTCTCGGTAAATATTTCCCGATAATCATTTCGCCTTTGGTGAATAATTGTTGAATAACTAGTTGTTTTATAAGAAAGTAAAATGCTGTGACAATGGCTACCATCTTGGAATTTACAAAACAAATCCCCACCTAATGCCCCACATTCCTTAGGCAGGGACAACAAAATGTGTTAATCCACCACGTGTTAATCCCCCAAAATGCTAGTCGGCAAATGAGATATCAAACTTCAAGTGTTACACTTCAATATATTGCCCTATTTCACTACAACGTCACATCAAAACAATCTATTGTTTAAACGAAAAGGATCATGGTCATCGGACGGGGTCAAATCGAAAATTGTCCTAAAACCCATATCAATCCACGAAGAGAAGTAGAATAGCCAGCAAATGCTCAGAATATTTTTTAGTAATGTTACATATTATATCTGAAAACCAGGCCATTTTAGATTAAACTGTTTTGCTAGGAGCAAATTTTGTTGAATTTCTATTGAATTGGTGATTCTATCCCCCACATAAACAAGCAGTGACGTCATAGTGAAATAGGGCAATTGGCATTGAGTGTCATGTTAAATAGTAATAACAATAATAATTTTATTTATATAGTGCATTTAAAGAAACATAAACCTTTAGTATGGCATCATGTTAGGCTGCGTTCATAATGTATGGGGGGGAGGTGAAAATTTGAAATGTTCAGAATAATTCTTAACACCCCCCCTTAAAAGTCATGCAAAAAAATACGTTCCCCCCTTAGCAAGGCTTGTAGCCTCTTCCAAAAATTGTGCATCCCCCATTTGTCTGATAAAAATTTGCCCATCCCCCCTTTCTTCCTACCAAAATTTTCCTGATCCCCCCTCAATTTCACCTGCCCCCTCTGCCATACATTATGAACACAGCCTTATAGAGGTCTTGGCATTAGGCGGCATGTTAAAGATACATTAACCTATAGTATGGGCTCATGTAATGGTGGTGTTGGCTTCAAGTGTCATGTTAAAGATACATTAACCTTTAGTATGGGCTCATGTATTGGGGGGTGTCGGCATCAAGTGTCATGTTAAAGATACATTAACCTTTAGTATAGGCTCTTGTAATGGGGGTGTCATCATCAATTGACATGTTAAAGATACATTAACCTTTAGTATGGGCTCATGTAATGGGGGTGTCGGCATCAAGTGTCATGTTAAAGATACATTAACCTATAGTATGGGCTCATGTAATGGGGGTGTCGGCATCGAGTGTCATGTTAAAGATACATTAACCTATAGTATGGGCTCATGTAATGGGGGTGTCAGCATTAAGTGTCATGTTATAGATACATTAACCTATAGTATGGGCTCATGTA